AACAGAAATAGAGTTTTGGTCAGTGACAATTTCTTCCAGAGTTTTCATGTAAAAAATAATGCACCCCAACCCTTTTCTATGGGAAGTTTCATTTTCAACCAACTGGCATTTCTACAGTGATCTATTTCATTAAAAGTTTTCTACCTAGCTGGATCTGGTAGTACTACATTGTACCTGTGCACTGCCAAACCTCTTCTGGACTTTACTCTGTTACCCAGTGAGCTGAGGTCAATTAGGAGGTTCTTTTTAGCTCTATGAGTTTCTGACTGATCCCCAGATCCCTAGGAAACAACACCATACCACTATGGAAGAGTCTGCCTGAGTTTAAAATAAGGGTGGTTCCTGCCTTAGGCTAGGCCACTTTTTTTTTTTACTATTTTTTTTTTTTTAGTTTAGTTTAGTTTTAAAAACATTTCCCTTTTAGTTTCACGGTAAAAGGTATTTTCAATATTTTACAAGAAAATACTGAATGTCCTTATTAGCTTTAGGCCATAAATGCCACAAAACAGATTTAAAAACTGGAATACACCCAACATAAATGCTTACTATTGGTGAATATAAGGGCATACAAAACAGGGCAGTAAAGTCACTATACAATATCAGGAAAACCATTAAAAAAATCTGGAAAAGCATCAAGATGGCTGGCCTCTTTGTAGTTTCAGCACAAAAATTGAGCCTTATTTCTAAATATTTTCCCTAGTGGGAAATAACAGCTTGAAAATAATCCCAGATGTATTCATTTGTGTAACATTTTGCTGCTTGCAACATATAGGCATGGAAAAATTATTGAAGGTTTCAATTCTGGACTTGTATTTTAAAAATGTCAAGCTTTTGAAAAACAGCATCATTTTTCCTTAAAAGCTATTCATTTACCTGGAATGTTGGCCAGCAGGCCTACATTATGGACTTGGTTTAGTTAAGATTGAAAAACTGCCCAAAGGCAAAGGAGAAGTAGGCAAGTTTTTGTGGCTCAGACTATACACTAGAACAAAATACAACTGAGTTGATTTTTGCACTGGCATCTAAAAGATTTTTGCAAGTATGGGATATTAAAAGTGATCAAAAGCTATCTGAGGTTTATAACAGGCTCAAGGATTGTTTTTCTTTTTCTTTTTCTTTTTTTTCCCTGTTGTCTTCTCACAACCAAAATCTGTATCTGAAGTACACACAATTAGAAAGCGCTTGTTAAGTGGCTACTGAAAACAATAAAAATCTCAGCCTGTAAGTAATAATCTCCAAAGAAGAGCAGATGAAAGTATGTTTCTGTTTGGTCTACAAAACAAGTTGTTTACTAAAATGTTCCCATTTTGGGTAGACATATATATATTAAAAAAAAAAAAAAACATACACACAAAAAAAAAATTCTGCACACACTCATAGCTGCAGGAAGTTGTCTTGCTAAAGGAATCACAGCTTTCATTTGTATCATGCAATCTAGACCACCACCTTGAAAAGCCATTTTTTTGGATAGTATTTACAGCACAGTGTTTTCTGTGACCCATTTTCTATGATATAAAGTAAAAGATGTTATCTCAATATAGTTGGCTATAAATTGTTTTAACAGGTTGGACTTATCTTTTGTGGTTTTTGTTTTGGTTTGGTTTGTTTTTTTTTCTTTCTGTGTCTATGGAGTCCCTTTTCTGGGGAAAAGTCTTGGGGAAAAAAAAATGAAGAAGAATCAGTGGAAACTCAGGGAATTTAATTATTACAGAGCCAAAGGAGACATGGATATGAGAACAGGTATAGTGAACAAGCCAGTGCACATCAACCCCATAGCACCAGGTGAAATGCCTGTACTCTTGAAGGAGTAACCAGTACAAAAAAACAAGCATGTGTTGAACTAGCCAGCTCCAGAAACAGATAGACTATTGCTGTGTTAATGTGACACTCTAAGTTCATTTAGTATGGTCATAGTGCCATATGGCCAGAGCTCCACTGTTTCATGTAAGTATCTTTGCACAGTGCCACTGTCCTGCTAGCTTCTCTAGATCCTGCCTGAGATCCCAGTCCCAGTCCTAGTGCAAAGACCCTGAACAATGCAGAGCATCTACCTCTGTAAGGAGCATAGTGAACCAGGGCCAGATGGTCTATCCTGCTCCCAAAGGAATCATTGCTGAAACCTCTGGTTTTCTATTTGAGAAGAATTAAGTCTTTAGAGAGTACTATATAGGGTACTCTTCAGGAAATGATTACACTACATGGCTGACAAAATTCGGCTGGCTGGTTATTCCATGAAAAGTGGTCCTTTTCTGTCTGGGACAGCATCTGCTGTAATATTTGTACTCTTCCTCAAATGCAGATGTTCTGACAACCTAGAATGATTCAGAGAGTTCATGGGCTTTTGGCTCATGTCAGCTTTCCTCTGACAGAATGAATGCCCCAGGCACATATCATACTGGAATATGGTCCATGTGCTGGTAGGAACTGCTGTAAGTGGTGTTCTTGTCTTTCTTCTTTGCTAGATCTAATACCTCCTTAATGACAGTAAAAAAGCTATTTCTTGGATTCCTCACACTGCCCTCTGCATCAGTGAGGAATCAGTAGCTACTCTGTAGCTCAGCATAAGAGCAGCTTCTGGTAAGAGAGGCTCAGCCATACCTATTTCTTGCCCACATGCTCCAAGAAAGATTTGGATTGGCCAGTCAGTCAAAGTGGGAAGAGTAAGATCAGGGACAGAGCTCCTGTACCTGTAAAACTCAATTATATCTAGAATATATGCCAAAGCAGGAACTTTTGACATTTCTTCTAAGTACTTTTCCTCTTCCTTTACAGGACCACAATCTTCTCTCTCTCAAGAAGAAAGTGTGAAGACATACTGATGTTTTATGCTCTTGAACTCTCCATCAGCATACAGACAGAGAGGGAAAGAATGTTGAAAAAAATAGTAATACAGACTAGCAGAGAATTGTTATGTGATGTCCAGCACAACAATCAGGCCACACAGTTGAGATGTGTAAAAAAGCTGGGTGCCCATGGCTCCCAGCTGCAGGTAATTAGCATATCTGAAAAGTCAGATCAATAAATATGTCTTACTGCAATTTAAAGAAAGGGAATATGTATAGACATCATTGTCCCCCTGCAGACCAGTTGCAGATGTCTTGGCAGATCAGGAGAAATCAGATATGCAGCCTCTGGTTATATGCTAAGTATAACTTGTTTTACTTACACAAACAAATAAATCTTGGAACAGAGATAATCAAACAACATGCTAGCAATTCCCTTGTTCGGGAATCTCAGCTCATCACTAACACCAGAATTACAAGAAACAATTCTACCTGACGAGCAGATTTTAATATGAGATCTAGACTAATAGCAGACTTGGCTTCTGATAACGCAGCTCCATCTCCACACAACTGTGTACATGTATAACCCGAATTTAAAAAATTAGTATGTCTTCCCATGAATTAGTATTTATCTGCATGTTTAAATAAAAATAAAAATAAAAATAAAATAAAATAAAAATAAAAATAAAAATAAAAATAAAAATAAAAATAAAAATAAAAATAAAAACTCTGGAAGACTGAAATGGCACCACCTGGTGACACCTACCACACAGTATGAATGGTTGCATGTTAGCATGCATAAAATTACTTTTGTTGTTTCACGTAGTTTTGTTGAGCAGCTTGTTGAGCAGCCTGTTTTATGACCATAAAACTTTTTAAGAGAAAAATCTTAATTATCTTAATTAGCCAATGCTTTTTTTTTTTTTTTTTTTTTTCTTTTTCCCCATTCTGTTGTGGTGCCTTGCTTTAAAGACAATTGTAGATAGGTGCGTGGATTCAGATACTTCATTCAGAAATTACCAGAGTAAATCAAGTTGTACATGAGACTCACCTCACTCTAATTTATAGTTCAGCTCAGACCATTGAACTTGCAAGTAAAATTTATGGGGGAAGAGCAATAAATTAAATTGGATAGAAACATAATTTTAGTCCTCCAGTTACTTGTACAGTTCGATTTAGCACATAAAAAATGGAGTATAATACTAACTTGTTAATAAAATGTGCACAGCGCTGACATGTAAAAACAGTTTTATAATTGGTTGGTCCACTCTGTTAGCCTTGTTGACAACACTAAATTTTCAAAACCCTATGTTGGTAACATTGAGCTAACATTATAAATGCAGAAAGCTCATAAATGCATACAACAGAAATTCATTTGGCCTTTGATTTTTTGGGGGGCGTCTTTAAAGTGAAAACTGTAAAATTACCACATAATAAAAGCCAGTACGCTGAACACTAATTGCCCATTTATAAAAAGCTCTTTCCCTCCAATCACATAGGTGTGAGGCATAAACTTCTCAGGATTTACAGAGCTGCAATTTATGCTCTCAGTCCTGTTTCTCTCTACTGCATTTCATCTTAAGCTTATAAAAGAAGAGCTGGATTTTATTAATCTGCATCAGCATTCATTGAACATTAAGTCTACGAAGATCCCTACAGGGTTTTAATTGTGGCTGAATTGCCAACAATAATTGGGCCTCTTACTAACCACGGAGAGCAGCCCACCCTCACTGCCAGGCACGGCTGCTAGCTCCAACACCAGCCACGATAGCCCACTTTGTCAGCTGCCCGAAGGGAAGTTGTCAAGTCTGGGACCCTGCTGCTTTATTCCTATAACTATGTTTTAGAAACACCTCACAAGTGGAATTGTGGTTGCCTCATCCAGAAAATGTGGAAAGGATTAATGTGGCATGTAAAACAAATCACTCCTGAGCTCAGCTGAGAAAGTGGGTATTAAAAGCACTCCAGTCAAAAGAGCTTTAGTGAAAGGGTCATGGTGATATACAGTCAGCACATGTTGGGCTGGTAAAGCTGCAGGGTGTTTGGAAATGGTAATGGTCCATGGGTGTAAATTCTTTCAAGACCTCTTAAAGGCACATGTGTTTCTTGAGCATGTTCTCCAAACAAGGACCTGTTATAGGTTAGATTCACTGGAGCTTTTAAACTTTATTGATTGGTTTGTAGTATTCCAGGTTCGTTTAGTGTGTTTTTTTTTTGTTTTTTTTTTTTTTTTTTTTAATGCAGTTAATAAACACCGGAAAAGATCCTGGTTTAATCTAAATCTTATAAATCTGTAAACTAGATGGTATGTAGCTTTACTGTAACATATTTCAAAATGTGTTATTTCTTTTTTTTATGCCAGCAATCATTGGCTTCACAAGAGTTAAGGGTCTATCAACATTTCTTTTATGGATGCAGGTTGGTTTGAGCGTCTTTACTTTTGAGTTAAAAAAGTCAGACCCTTAGCTTTGACATGCCATTTAGTGTGCTTTTATATATGTTTGTAACATTTGTAACATAATATTTCCTAAAGTTATTAAAAAGATGTCTCATGGCAGCTTCTCTTGTAAAGCTGGGAAAACTTACAGTGCTTAGTGAAAGCTTTATTTTACAAGTTGAACTATTCCTTGTTCTCTTTTTCATTAGGAATTTCACTGTGATTTAGAATGAAGAATAAAAATGTGATAACATATATGTCACATGTAGCCCTTTTCTGCCTAAAGTATCACCACCACAAGATAGAAATGTCTAGGAATGGATTTTAAGCAGTGGCTTGCCTTGACTTCAGTCAGAAACTTGAGGATTCAGTAATTTTGTGAATTAGGCCTTCTGTGCAGGGATCACTTCACTTAACTTTGACATGGAGCCATTTCAGAGAATCACATCAGGTGTTGAGCAGAACACAGCAACAGTTTTAAACAGACTGAGTAGCTGAGAAGTGGAGCTGGAAAAAAAGAAACAAAGAAGAAGAAGAAGAATGCATCTAGTTTCTACAGTACTTGCCATGATATAATTAAATTTACTAATAATTGTTTCCAACACACACCATTTAGACGAGAATACATCCCTGCAGCAAGTGGACTGCATTCAATTCTAGGGAAGCTTGTGAGAGCTTTGGCTGAAATGCCAGTATGTTAGGATTTGGTCAGCAATATGCAGCATTGGTTACACACACTAGGGATTGGGGGTTTTCAGTCTTTTTTTCTGAGTGTGTTTGTTTTTACACAAGGCCACTGTTAATTATTTTGTGCAGTCATTTAACCTATGTTCACTATAACAGACTTGAAAGCAGAAGCACAGATTGCAGATACATGATGTGGTAGGTGAAAACATTTGTTCTGAATAATTATATTTAATTGAAATCGTATTTAAAAACACCGAAGAGTTGTTTTCTCACAAACCCCTGGAACTGTTATGAACAGAGACCACGGTTAAATGATCAAAAACGTACTTAGTCAAGTTAAAACAAATAAATAAAATAATGTGTGACCTTGGAGAAGTTTGGGTTCTATGTAGGTTCTGGTTCAGTGCTTCTGACTTTGGCTCCAGCTACAGCCATGACTACAAATATTTTTTCACAGCCTTCAACAATGACACCATTTGTTACTTTTGCTTAGTACAGCACTTGTGAAAGTCAAGATCAATCGTTCTCCTGCAACATTTCCACCATGAAATGAAGTTCCAGCCATAAAGCAAAGGGGCACACAGTAGATATGATGTCACTGTCTGGCATCTTTATGAAGATCGGAAAGCTTTGCCAATACTTAACTTCAAAATTAAGTTTCCTTTCCTCTTCCCCTTCAGGAAGGTGAAATGTAATGTGCCTGCAACCTATCTTGAAACAGATGTCCTGTAGCTACTTAGGTAAATAGCTGAGGTAACTGGCCAAGACACATTTTTGCAAAGAGACACACAGTCTAAAAAGACAAAAAGAAAAAAAAAAAGTTAATAGTAGACATAGATTGTTGTAATGTCATTGTTCCACATTGCAATAACGTTCAGGAAACTGAACACTATGATCTGTAAACCAAATTACTGGTGTTCTGCTCAAACATTTTAAAATCCAAACACCTTCAAGGAGCAGCCAAATACGCTGAACAGAAGACTAGTCCTTCTGTGTTTATTTTCTTAAAAACAAAGCAAAACAAAAGCATTAAATTTGAGGCTTAGGAAATATTTTAATTAGACTTTCTAGGTTACACATATGAACAAAAGCATTTATTTTTTTCTCCCCAAGAGTACAGAGTTGCTCTGTTAAAACAAGTAAATATATTTCTACACATTGGAAAAAAGATACTGCTTACCTTTTAATTTCAATTCTCATGTTATAACAGAATTAGTCTTGTTAGTCTTCTTTAAAACTTCAAATCATTTTTTTTTTGCTGAAATACTGAGATTGTTTAACTTAAAGTCTTAATTTAGTCTCCTGGATGTAGACTTTTGATTAATTTTGAGAAGATTCTGCTGTTTCAGATCTAGAACTACAGATTCAGAATCAAAGATGTTCATCAACACAAATCTGCAAGACAAGACAAATTTGGAGGATATACTAAACTTAAAAAAGAAGAATATTGCAGAAGCTTTACTTTTGTTGAATCCATTTTCAGACTGTTAGGCTATAACAGTTTAGTTTTAACATACAATAATTAATTTACAACCCCAATTTTCCTTTCTGTTAGAAGACAATCCTGAAAATATCCACTAAATTTATATGAATAGTAAATAGTTTTAATAGAATGCCACTGGTTTATGTCCTGAAGATTATCTCTTTCTTATCCAGAAACAAAATTTTCATTCTACTATGGCAATAACCCGAAGGCATTCTCATAATAACAAGGCAATTGGGTTTTATCAGATACTTTACTGTCTGAAAAAGTAAGTTTTGGACAGTTCTGTTCATCAAAGCAGAAGAGGTACAGGGCTAACAAGTTCTTTGTACAGCTCCTTACTCAACTGTTCCACCACCCTTGGAAAAAAAAAAAAAAAAAAAAAAAAAAAAAAGCTGTTTTGTGGAGTACAGTGCTGTCTATAGCACGATGGTGTCCCCAGAATTACTTCTTACTCCATGGAATTTCCTTGAAGAGCAGTAAGCTATGCTAGGAGAAACATGAACATTAAGAAAATGAGTATCACTTGCTTTGAAGATCAGATAAATTAAAGGTCTTCTAACAATAGCATTCAGTGAGCTTACACTCTCCTAAACGGGAAATTAGGTAACAAAACAAAAAAAGAACAAATAAATAAATAAATAAAATTTCCCTCTCAAGTTAGGAAAAAAGTGGGGTTTGTTTTCATCTGTATTTGATGAGCTCCATCCAGCTTGTTCAACAAGGTTTTAACATGGACAGATAAAGTGTCAAAGCTGAATTTTTGGTAGGCCTGTAAGCAAAAATGAGTGACACGAGGGAAAAATGAAAGAATAAAATAAAGCAGAGAGCATAAAAACAAGAAAAAAAATGTTGTAGTTAGATAAAAAAGGAAGAAATCCTTAGTAAAAATTCTTCTGATTAAATCATTTATATTTTGAAAATGGCATACTAGAAAAAAAAAAAAAAAAAGACATCTATTCTGTGTGATAATTTTGTCTAAAAATTATCAAAATGTAATTTCATTAAGGCCTGGTGCTTCATTTGAAACAAATGATAGAAAAAAAAAAAAAAAAAGAGAGAGATAGAGAGAAAATATTTTATACATTCTATTCCTTTGAATTTCAAATCTAAGGGTTTTTTGTTGTTTTAAATTTCTGCTTCTTTTTCACATTTTCCAAGTGAACAGACATAGGAATAAAATGTTAAACACTCTGAAGTGGCAGGGAAGACTTCATTTGAAACTAAAAAATATATATTTTTTTGCCATATAAAAATATATATATTTTTGCTATATTCAGCAAACACACTTTTTCCCCATAAAGTTAAAAAAACATTTTGTCTCCTGGAACACATGAAAAAATGGCAAAATTCATATGACTTCAGATAATACAAAATGCATAGCTCGTCTTACATTTTCTGCTGATTGTGTAGGACTGTCCATAAACCTGCCATTTCATGAGGGGCATGAATACCACTTGGTGACTCTATTCAAAGAAGACAAGAAAAGTAGGCAAGAAGGAGTCATACCTCTACTTTCTTCTTTCTGCTTTTGCTCATAAGTGGATGCCAGTGCTCACTTTCTGAACACTTATTTTCTGTGGTCTTTTCCGCACTTTCCATGCACTTGTCACATTGTGCCCACAAAATCTTCACTATATTTCTCTACAAAAGTGCTACGTGAAGATCATAAGCACACGTCATTTTAGAAATGGAGTCTGATCATATATGTACACGTGTATTTGCAAGTGTGTATGCGTTAAAAACATTTATTGGAGTTTTCCTGTGGCATGACAGCTTTGTTATTCACTATATTCTGTACTATATTATATACCTTTATATTCTGCTATTCACATGCTAAATGCATCAATACTGAAACAAATTCAAAAAGTCATTTTCTCCCTCCTATTGGTTATAGATTTTGCCATCATAAGAAAAAAAAAAAAAAAAAAAGAAAAAAAAACAAACTTAAGAAATGACTCTGAAAAGAACAAACAAGATCCAATGGGTAGAGTAAGCAAGCACCGTCACTAACATCTTTAAGCAGCAGTTTTCAGGCAAACAAAAGGAAGCACTTTTCATTACAATGCACAATTAAATTATGGAACGCATTACCACAGGATGCTGCATAAGCCAAAAGTATAACAGGGTTCAAAAGGAGATTAGACTAATTCATGAAGGATATGTCTATCAATGGTGATTAAACACAATGATCCGGATACAACTCTGGTGAAGGAAGTCCCTATTCCACTGACTACTGGAGGCTGGGACAGATACCTTGGAAGAGCTTTGCACATAGTTTTTATGTTCATATATAGAAAAAGATTATTTTAATTGAGCACCTTAGAGAATTTAGTACTGTTCTCTGTTCCTAATCCTACTTGGACACTTAAATGTTCACAATGCTCTTCTCAGGGCCCCTTTTTCCATAACTTGAACATTATATAAGTCCTTTAGAGACAAAGCAGTAACTTCTTTTAAAAGATTTACCTGATGTTATTCATCCAACTTGTAGAAATCTCTACCTTTGTAAAGCTGCAACATCAGTTCACAGAAACCTGGTAAGTATAACTGAAATAAAATGTGATATGTGCACACCTGTATAGCAGATGACTACATTAAAAGTGATTAAACAGCATTTCTTTCAGTTTCTTTTAATTTGAAACTTACTCACTTGTACTTCTGCTAAGAAAATTTTAGAGCCAGGACCTCTCTGAGCAAACCAATTTACTGAAGCTCAGGAAGCAGAACCTTAATTTTAGAAAGTGAGCACAGATAATTGTTAAACCTCAAAGAACACATCTTGTTGATAAGCAATTACAGTAACACCTCTCTTCCTATGACCTTCCCTTTGAAATACGTTTGTGTCATTTATATGGCAATTACATTGTAATGCAAGATACATTCGGGAGTGTAAATATCCAGATTAAATCTACCTTGAAAACACAGACTGAATCAGGTTTATAGCCTAGAGGCAACTTGTGAATCCCATAAAGCATTGTTCAAGGGACCTGGTTAGTGTTCTGTACACCTGCTTAATGTTTTTGGTGTTTTTTTTTAAGGTGTTTTTTTTTTGAGGGTTGATTTTTTTTTTTTTTTTTTTTTTTTTGTAGTCACAAATGTCAAACTTCTCAGTAACGCATTGGGGTTTGAATGACAGCCATGCACTTGAGCACCAGTTATGTTTTTTCACTACCAAATTGGACTATAAATGATGAAAAAGAGGTCAGAAAGGAAGTATGGAAGCATACAAATTTGAAAGGGGAAACTGCTAATAGTCATAAACCGTGTGCAATCAAAGGACTGGCAAGTCATTGTGAATTACCTGCTCCATGAATTACTGATCTAACTGCATTATGATATGGAATTTTCTAACTCCTTTCATCTGTGGTGCAATGGCTTCTAACAGCTCCCAGATCAAAAGCAAAGCTGCCAGTGAAACTCTGGAGGGAAAGAAAAAACAAAAACACAACACTGACTTTCATTATGAGAACTTATTTGTTAAACTTTTCTTAATATACAGGCTTTGTTATTTATTGATTCACTGATTGGATGTACTGTAAGAATGCCACCTACCAAATTTGAGGAAATAGCACAGAAATGATCAGCAGTGTGACACCTAAGTGCAAGACAAAACTTGTAAGCATGTGCACATAAACACTTGTAGCTTGTGCATTTCTCCACAGGTGGTAAAATGCCAAATGCTGGGTTTATATGGCCTCCTTTTTCTTTTTACTTCTAATCATCTCAAATACTTCACAAACAATTAGTTACATGTAGCTAGTCTTACTGATTGTATCCATTTAATGAGACAATGTATATGCCAATAGCACCAACATGAAGACATAGTTCAAGGCATATATAAGCAATGACGAGACAACTGATGTCTACAGATGCCTGCACATGCCCAGGAACAAAACTGAGTCTAAGCTCAAGTCATGACCATAACAACAAAGCTCAACAGAGTTATTGACTAAACCAGACAACTTTTTTTTTTTTTTTTCAGTTGAGCGTTGAGCACAGAAATTCTTATGGTATATATTAGCATAGTCATACACACACACACAATTTGACAGATCTCTCTTTTATTCAGTGTTTCTGTTGGAACAACTCTGAGTTTGCTCACAGATAAAACTGTGAATTCATTTCAACATGATGACAGTCTACACAGTGAATATGTCCTTCTTTGTGTGTGTGTCTATCATAGAAAATAAACACAGAAATTTAGAGCTGTGTCACTATTTCAGTGTGAATATACTTGATACTTTCCACCTAAGATAATAGTTGTAAATATGTGATGTACAATCAAACACAGAGCAAAGTTTGGCAATATGACCACACTGATAGAAAATATAATTCCTATCCTGTGAAAAGGAATGTTTTGTAATTTTTCCTGAAGAATTCATATTTTTGTAAAGAAAGGAAAACTTCCAAAGAAACATTCCTGCAAGTGCCCTCCTGTTTCATGTTTCCCTCCCCACAGCTGTCCCACTCCAGAGTCCTGGTTGGGGTGTCAGGAAGCTGGAGGAGCAGCTGCCTGGGGAGAGGGGAGCCAGGGGAGCCCCGGCTGGCACGCAACCAGGACTGCAGGCTTCCTGGACAGCCTGCCTGCTTTCTATTGAAACTTTCAATGGAATCAACATGTTCCTGTGAAATGTTTCAATTCTGTAAAATCAGCATTTTCCAACAGAGAAGTGTTCCACTGGAAAATTTTCAACCAGCTCTAACAAGCAGGGCATCTTTAACATCTAACACAGAGATGGAGCAGAAGGACATTAAACTTCCATCTGAGAGACAGTCAGCCAAATTCTCTCCTTGCCTTCATCCTACACTGAAGCGATGCTCTTCACCTGAGCTGTCTGCAACAGTAGGCTAGTGGTTCTCAAATGAGGCTGCCAGGGCACTCTTGAGATACCACCATACTACAGCATATTCTTACTCTATTGTTACAGTTTGATCAAAATGGTTGAAGGTCAGGCACTATGAATTTGATGTGGCCAGTTATAAGGTTGTATCGAAGTCCACTTGTGAAATACTTTGAAAATGCCAGTAAGATAGATTAATGTCTTTAAACTACCACAGAAACCACATAGAATCATTTTCAGCACCAGTCATGACCAAGGTTTGTCTTATGCACATAAGTATGTTGGAGCGTGTAAGTAATTTTTTTTTCTTTGGTGAGTTATTTAGTTGATTCCGATGTCTTTTTAGGGGGTGGAATCAAAACTTGACAAAAAGGTATGGATTTTATTCATAACAAAATTCTGTTCAAGAAAACATTCAGGAAAAGAACAAGAATATTCAACAAAGCACAGAATCACAGTCACATATTAGTGGTTTCTGACATCTGTCAGTTAAACCACTGGCTAGAAACCTCTATTGATGATCACACTATGTAATCTACCTTTTTTTTCATGAGACATTTCAGGAGCTTTTTCTATTAGGAAGTTAAAAGTTAGGTAGATGAAGGTTTACAAATATGAGATAACTTAAAGTAAAAAATTACTTGAACAAGATTTAAAAGTAGATATTGTTGACAGAAAATTGATGCTTGAAAGTTTTCCTCGAGTGAACACAATGGACCTATATATGTTTCTTAACCACTAGAAATAGTTAAAAGGAAGATAAATGATATCTTTCTGTGGCTGATGTTGGAGCTTCAAATGGCAATGTAGAAATTATTGTCATTAAGAGTTAAGCAATCTAACTCCATGATGGCAATCAAATCAAAGCAGCTCTTTAATTTTTATTTTATCACTCTCAAGGATCAAATTTACAAATATTGATGTCCTTCAATTTGATTTGTTCAGCTATAATATTTAGAAATGAGAGTCATCTCACAGTAAGTCATGCACTAGACCAGATATTCTAGGGTGCAATTTCTTAGTCTAAAAGCTGCCAAATAGATCTCAAGAAAAATTACATATTTCACTCTGCTAACTATAAACGGAGGCAATGGTGACCATCTGGGAGTAAACATATTCAATGTCAATGTTTTAAATTACATGAGATGAAGCTAACCCAACTTTATTTAAGGTAACTTTTCATGGAATAAATTATTGATCAAATATAGGTTTTAGATGAGTATTGTTTACATTGATTTTAAATTTTGCAAGACTGAGTTTAATAAATTGCACGCCAACCTCTGTGCTTTAAGATCTTGTCATGATCTTGTTGTGATGGAGGACATTTTAAAAAGACTCTGATGCCCAGTAAATATTTCACTAAGTGACCACAAATTTAAGTTTTAAGCATTAAGAGTGGCACTCATTTGAACCCTTACAGTAGCAACGCAAAGGACAAAGATAAAATAAAGTAATAAATAAATAAATAAATGGAAAAATTGAAAGGAAAAAAAAAAAAAAAAAAAAAAAAAAGACCAGGATAAAAAGAAAAACGGAAACAATCTATAGAATTACCAAACTTTTTTTTTTGTGTTATAGCAAAACGTATAAACCAGAGCAGATAAGGCTCCCATCATTATGGGGGCTGCCCTGAAACAAAGCTCCCAATTTGTATAGCTCAGCATTTGGGGCAGCTGAACTTGGACTTGTGCTTTGCCTCTGGCATGGCTCTCTCTGTGGGCCTGTGCAAACCCCTATATGCAAACATTCCCCCACACAGCAGCAGAGGCACTGTGTGCCTGGCTTACATCCACCTCAACACCAGATTTTCCAAGTGCTCCTTATCCTGCAGACACACAAGTTTTTATACTTTGGAAGCCATATATCACATATGCATCCAACACATACAGTTACTTTCCATCCTTCATGTTTTGGGGGGTTGATTGATTTTTTTAAAATTTTATGAAATCATAAATGCTATTCAATATTTCTCAGCTGATGTCTCTCAAGTAGCCCCATCCTCAACATATACATAAAGTAGTTCTTTTGTAAATATATAAAGACAGAAAATTGTACCAGCATGGTCTACCCCGGGTACTGTTTGGTGGAAAAGAACATTATTTGCAGATAGCTGTGGCTGAATGCTGATAACTATTTCTATCCCTGCCCCCAAAAAAGGTTTTAAGACCAAGATGGAGATGTTTTGGGAAGTATACCAAGTACCAGCCATAGACAATGTGACTATATATGTACAGTCAATTCATAAGTACCCATATACATATATATATATATATTCATACCTATATGTATGTATATATCGTGTAAGCTGTAAGGAGCTCAGGAAAGATCCCAGGACACATACATTTGAATTATATGTGTTTGTTTATAAATGGAAATATGGGCACATGTACTCCTTGTGTGTTTCCAGAATGCCTTGTATTTCTACTATTTTGGCTTGGTTATCTCAATGCCTGAGTCTAGAGTAATGTATGCCACCCTTTCGGGAAACATTTCTTATAAATCTAAACATGAAATATTTGTGTCAAAGCTGTCTACGAATGCAACCAATTGAAGAGCTTCAAGTTTTGTAACAACTCTTTTCATTTTCTCTCAAAGGGTGTTTCTGTTACTTTCTAAACTCAGACTATTTTGATTATCTTTACTCATTCTTAAGCTTGACTGCCCTTCTCTTCTTTGCTTAACTTCTGGACAGTGAGGAGAATGTGTAGTAGACATCTCCAAATTTCCATACAAAAGCAGCTGAAATTCTAATCCAAAAAAACAGCCCCTTGCAGAGCTACTCAGCATTTCCTTTGTCTACTCAAATCTTTTCAGAGAAACCATAAAGTAGTCCTAGGAAGCTGTCAGTGATCCTGTAATAAGCACTTTCATTCTACTGTGGCAAGGGCTTTGAAATTTAAATTATAAATGTGACAGAAGGATGAAATTTGTTTGGCCTATAGTTATATAAGTGGTGTAGCTGGGTATTAGGGCTGTGTCTGTGTGCTTCCCCACAAAACTTAAGCAGTAATTGTTTGGGCTTACCCAGCAGAAGGGAGAGCAATGGGCTCTCCCTTGGGAAGATCATGGACAGCCTGGAAAGATGGTGGCTAACTAAACCCTCTCCTAGACACCTTCATGACAAAGTACTTCCAGGACTTCTCCAGGACTGAATCAAAAGGAGTCCTAAGATCCCCCCTGAACAGCATCCACTGTAGCTATAGACCAATTGATAAGCACTACTTGTGTGCTTTAGTAGTTCATTTAATGGTTGATGGGTAGAGAATCTGGTCACTAAGGATTCTTGATCAGGCAATTTCTGCAACAGAAGTGACCAGAATGCACACAGAAAACATAAATATCAGTAGTTAGTAGAAACTGCCACTGCAGAAATGCTCTTATAGGTAGTCTTCTGTACACAGATAAAGTAGTAAGGACATATTTTGTAAGTAGTTTGAGATAATCAGTACCAGTGGATCATGCATGTGCTGGAGTGGTCATGTCAGACCACAATCCTTGCAGTTAGGGAAGTCTCACCTGATTGAGATGAAGATAAAAAGCACCTTGCAATGCAGACTACAGTCCCCATCCAGACAGCG